GTTGCACCCGACCCTTTGGCCCCTCCCATGGGTGGTGAGCCCATGAGAAGGGGGACCCACGTTGCCTCTTCGGGCTGAGCCCGACCGGGCCCCATAGGTGTAGGCCCGGCCACCAGGCGCTCGCCAACGTGCCCCACCTCCAGGCCTGGCTCCAGAGGGGGGGCCCCGGTGACCCGCGTCCGGGCAAGGGAAACTGAGTGCCATTTATTTTAATCATCATGAGGGTTTTGTGATTGGATTTGGAGATGTCCACAGATTTCATTTTTCACCGCAGGTTTCAAAAACTAGTTTTTACTGAAAAAAATATTTCGGGAATGTGTGGCTGACATGGCAAACTTGAAGAAAAACATCTCCCGTTCGCAAAATACCTGGCTACATGTCGACAAGGACTAAATCGTTAAGTGGAAACTCCATCTATTCTCGACCACTTATCCATGCTCGGGTTGTGGAGGCAACAGTTTTAGCTGAGAAGCCCAGACTTCCATTCCACTTCTTTCAGGTCTTCAGGGCATCCCAAGGTGTTCCAGGCCAGACAGGAGATATAGTCTCTCCAGCATGTTTTGGGTCATCCCCGGGGCCACCTGGCAGGTGTACATGCCCGGAACACCTCATCAGGGAGGCATTCAGAAGGCATCCTAACCAGATCCACGAACCAACTCATCTGGCTCCTCTCGACGTGGAGGAGAAGCGGCTCGACTTTGAGCCCCTCCTGTATGACCAAGCTTCTCACCTTATCTCTCAGGGAGAGCCCAGACACCTTGCTGAGGAAACAAATTTTGGTCGCTTGTGCCCGGGATCTTGTTTTTTCTGTCACGACCTACAGCTCGTGACCATGGTAGGAAAGTAGATCGACCAGTAAATCGAGAGTTAGCCCTTTAGCTCAGCTTCATCTTCACCACGACAGACTGACACAAAGTCCGCATCATAGCAGACGCTGCACTGATCCGTCTGTTGGTTTCCCCACTCCATCCTGCCCTCCCTCATGCATAAGACCCGTCCACTTGGGGCAAGATCTCATCCCCGCCCCCAAGAGGGCATTGCACCCATTTCTGATTTAGGGCCATTGTTTCAGATTTGGAGGTGCTGATTTTCAACCCAACCACTTCACACTTGGCTGCGAACCGCTCCAGTGAGACTCAGTTTGAAGGAGCCAACATTACCACATTATCTGCAAAAATCAGAGATGCAGTATAGACGCCACTAAACTCTGTTCAGAAAGGTTATGAACACATCAGTGACAAAAGGTAGCTTTTGACAAAGGGAACCCGACCCTCACTGGAAACGAATCCGACTTACTGCCGGCAATGCAAACCAACCCCATTATATTAGTGGTATAAGGACCAAACAGCCCGTATCAGGGGGTTCAATACCCCATACTCCTTAAGTAAACCCCACAGAACTCCACAAGGGTCGAATGCCTTCTCAAGTCCACAAAACACATGTAGATTGGTTGGGTGAACTCCCATCCACCCTCAAAGACCCGGCCAAGGATGTACAGTTGGTCCACTGTTCCATGTCTGGGACAAAAACACGCCACTGCTCCTCCAGAATCTGAGACTCGACTTCATGATGGACCATCCTATGCAGCACCTCTGAATAGACCTCCCGGGTCTTTTTAAACACCTTTGTGACTGCAACCCCAGAGAAAGGAGAGCCCACCTCAGAGTCCACAGCAGCAAGACCGAGCCCGAATTCGAATCCTCGACCTCTGCACTGTTCGGCAGACGTGCTCATCAGTTTATCACTGTGCCAACCTATTCTTTAAAGCATTAATATTACATCATTCAATGTAGTTAATTTATTTTAGTGATATTAGCTCACAGTCACAGCCATTGATGTAATGGTACTAATATATTGAATAATTACGAAAAATTATATTTATTGTGATGTTGCATTTTTCGATTTTTTTTACATTCCCTGGTAAACAACGAATGAACTTGCTCATCATAAAAACAAAAAGACACTTTTTCTGTATAACAACCCTAGTGAGGCAATGTGGTTCAAAAGATGGATGGGTGGATGGATGTATTGCTACGGGAGCACAATAAATTTCATATCAAGGCAAAATAATTATATATTTAATTTTATATGACTACATTCTCATCCTTTCATGGTTGAGGCAATAAATAAACACATTATGAATATAGAGGAATGCATATGTTGTGGAATTGAACGGTTAATGTTTTTTTTTAATCAGATTACAAAATATCTTGTGGTAATGGGGGTCCTGGAGTTATGTTATGTTATGTTATGTTATGTTATGTATGGAAATGCTGACAAATGATTCTAGAAGTGAATTTTGAAAGTTTGGCAGCTTTGCTCACAGCTGGCTTAGCTTTGGCCACGATTAGTGGTTGTCTGCTCATAATGATAACTGGTGCCGTATTAAAAAATGTCAGTGTAATATATTGGAAGTATTTTAGCATCCCAAATCAGTGATTGAACATGAGTCCAGGATGAGTTGTTGATGTTGGTGGGAACAGTTTGTAATACAAATACAGTACATGCAATATATTTGCAATGCCATATACACTTAAACTGGGCTCAGACGATCAAGCCTCTCCAGTCGGGAACACTATTCAAGTAAGCTGCCACAACATTATATGCTGCCACGCACGACTTCAACCCTGGAGAACCCACGGGGTCCAATTTGGCCCCTATAAATTCTGATACTCAAATGCTACCCTTAAACCCCAAAGGGTAAAATTTGGCCCTAATCCTGAATTAGGATTAAAGCATTAAATATTTGAAAAAAACATATATTTTGATGATCAGTGAACATATAGCAGTCATTTAATGTATAATTCATCATTTTCTAAAGAAGAAAAGGGTTCTTGGTTTCTCCAGGGTTAAGGCACTGATCTCAGTATATGCAGGCTGGGAGGCTGGGCGGTCATTTCCATATTCCAGTGCAGAAATTGCATCCAAGGATCCATATTTAATGGGGGTCCATTTATATTCTTTAATGCACCTTCCAGGGCCCTACTGACGATGTGGATCTTGTCCACTAGTCCTGTCAGATTCTGCAAGTTGCTTAATTTACCAAACAGAATTAGCTGGCTCCTTCGGATTGGGAAATAAAATAGAACATTTCCTTTTAATTCCTGAAAGACAAACATTTGAACCTGTGAGGTTCCTGCCGATTGTCAAAGTCATAGAAGCTGTCTCGTATTGTGGTTGATAAGTAAAATTTATTAAATGTGTACACCTTGTTTCTCTTGCATTTGTTTGAAACAAACCGAAGGTGACCAATTAAAATATGGCCCTTCAAAATGTAAATGAGAAATGTTATGTAGCCCAAACACTAGACAAATAATTTTTCTTGCATAAATCCAGGGGGGACTCCTGAATGTATTCAAGAAGCTGAATGCGCCTTTGCACTTCAGTTACCATCACACCTTTCGCAACACCATCGAGAGTCATTACAAGTGGACCCTGAGGTACGAATGCACACTGTTTGAACATAAACATTAACATAGCATAAACTTGGCCTTTATTAACACTTTGCAATAATCTCTCCTGTTGAATGTCTCATAGTGGGTTATAGAACATTCGTATGTGTCCGGGGAGTTCTTCAACCTGTACCTGCACCAGAATTACCTGGACTTCTTCTCTGAGATGGAAGACGTCGAGAAAGCGAGCGAGTACATGTCAGACGCTGACCTCCTCACATCTGATTGGATGGTTAGCTTAACTATGCATGAACGTTTTGAAAACAAAACCAAAAAGTAGACTCGCAATCTAATATTAATGCATCGCTCAAAAAAAAAAAAAAAAAAAGATCTGTAAATTAAAATTGTTGCTAATTTACATGATGTCAAATAGCCAGCAAGGGCCGGGTCTGCACTTTGGATGCAAAATAACAAGATTGATTGTGGATTTAAGTTCACAGACCTTTTACATGGATCTGCTTCACTGTTGCACTGTTCTGTTCTCAGAGTAGTAATACCATGAGGGAATATGCGTCTTCGGTGGCCACCAGAGGGCTTCTTCACTCCAACTCTCAACAAATAGCTGTTGGCTTCAGACCACTCCACAAACCCAACTGGTTGCTGGTCAGTAAGAAGGTAGGACTTCAGCAGCTTTTATTCTGTCCATTGTGGTTTACCATACTGTAGACTGATGTAAATTATTATTGGTGAACACATGACTGAAGACATGGTGAAACTATGATGATGCTTTGCAGAACTTTCATAAGGCACAAAGTTGCAAACTGGTGCAATGTCTTACATTAAAAAAAAAAAAATCAAGAAAAATATGGACATTATGTTCATTATATTGTCATAGGTTGGTGACCAGTTCAGGGTTTGCCTTGCCTCTCTCCCAGAGATAGCTGAGATAGACTCCGTCTGACCTGTAACTCTCATGAGGACAGGTTGCATGGAAAACGTTTTGCTAAATTAATTGAAATTGAAAAATCTTATTTTGTTACAATGCCAATACCAAAAGATGTTTTTTAGGTTTGGTTTTTTTTTTTTTGGTTTTTTTTTTTGCTTGTTGAATGACAATTTGGGCGGCCCAGTGTTCCCGTGGTTAGCGCATCGGCCTCCCGGTGGAGGGTTCGATTCCGGCTTCGGCCTCCCTATGTGGAGTTTGCATGTTCTCCCTGCACCTATGTGGGTTTTCTCCAGCTACGCCGGATTCCTCCCACATTCCAAAAACATGCATGGCAGGTTAATGGAACACTCTAAATTGTCCCTAGGTGTGAATGTGAACGTGGATGGTTGTTTGTCTCCGTGTGCCCTGCGATTAGCTTGCAACCTGTTCAGTGTGTCCCCCGACCACTGCCCGAAGACAGCTGGGATTGGCTCCAGCACACCGCACAACCCTTGTGATGATGAAGCATTTTGGAAAATGGATGGATGAAATGGAATTATCCTTTGCTGTAATTTTACATAATTAGTCTGATGTTATTCTCGTTAGCATCGGGAAAACTGCTTGGCTGCTCAGTTCCTGTTTCGCCATTTCTGTATGACACCTGTCAGCCTCCAGACAGAGTTGCTACCATATCTGGCTAAATTCACCAACCCCTTCAAGAACCAAGGTGACACACACACACACACACACACACACACACACACACACACACACACACACACACACACACACACACACTCGTGACTGCTGGATTTTAGATTTTTTTTCATTTATTTGTGTCTTTATTTTACTTTAACCTTTTCATGTGCCCTGTAACCTGATAACATGATAAGCTGTCCACTGTAGTAACCGCTGTCCCTGAAAGGGTTAAAATCAATGCAATTGTGATGTCTAGCACTGGAGCTGAGACTGGCAACATTTTCCCCAAAAACTGAGGAGGAGGCAACAAAAGACTGGGAAAATTGAAGAATACTCAAAAACACTTTATGGGAACATTCCACTGGTGAACAGGTTAATTGGGCCGAGCTATCATAATTGGGTATAAAAGGATCATCCCGCCAAAGGCTCAGTCGTTTAGAATGGAGGATGGGGCGAGCTTCACCACTTTATGAATAATTAAATGAGCAAATATTTCAACAGTCTTAGAACAACATTTCTCACCGTACAATTACAAGTAATTGAAGGATTTCCATCTATGATCCATAATAACATTAAAAGATTTCAAGAATCCCTACACAATAAGGTGCCAGGCCGAAAACCACAATTGAATGCCTGTGATCAATAATCCCTCAGGTGGCACTGCATCAAAAAAAAAATATATATATATATATATATATATACACACACACTTACACACACACTAAATATACGACATTTCTAAAAAAAAAAAGAAAAAATACATTTCTCCCCAAAATACCAATTCCCTCATAAATATTGACCTCCCATTCGGAAGATATTTTCCTTTATATATATATATATGTCATGGTCTGTTTTACATGCAATCAATAACCCTTTTAAAACCCGTATATTGGCAGTATTTGGAATTTTAGGTCATATAAACGCATGCAACAACTGGAATAAGACCCGTGGGTTACTCCTTTTCTAACCTGTATATTGGATTATATAAACCGCAATCTGGCTATGAGGTTTTGGTTTGTGTTCTGCGCATGGCCTTGCTCTATGCGCAAGGAATCTTGGTCTTTGTAGTTCAGGAAGTTCTTGTATGCACCCTCCACACTGCACCCTCACCATTGTGAGCCTAAGTTGAATACATTAATTTCTCCACAGTGTTTTCATGTTATTATCCACCTCTGTGGCAAAAGTAGCACATTACACAATAAGTCCATACATTTGGTGCGCATCTTGCCGGAAATAAACAAGCAGAGGTAAACAATCAAGGCGTAGTTCAGAGGCATGCTCAAAAGCACACTCTAGGACAGGGGCGGGCAAACTTTTTGGCTCGGGGGCCACATTGATTTCTAAATTTTACAGGTGGGCCGGGTCAGCACAAGATACGGTACATACAAAAAAATGTATATGTTGACAGTCCATACATAACATCAACATAACAAAAGCATTAAAGTATTCCCATACTTATTTATTTTATTTTATTTTTTAATGAGAACAGTGAAACAACTATGGTATATGTCCTGTATGAACGTCCAAGTATGTTAACAACATACATGTGACAACACAAGCAACAAAGTGCAACAATATATTGCTCAAAAACTGCAGCACACAGTACAGGTATAGGACAAAACATAACAAAGTTAGGACTATTTGCTACAAAATGAGACGTGTAAGAGACCTGGTGGCTTTTCTTTCCACTCACTCATTGTCTCTGACTTGACCTCCCCTCGATCACCACACATGACAGCGTTGCTCAGCTGATGTCGCGCAACGAACTTTTGAAGCCAGCCACGGGACGCTTCGAAGTCTTCGATGCTCATAGTTAACGCTCTGGAACTCGCTTCCTCTCCTATTAGCGGTCCAGTTTGCGGAAAGTTTTTAGCACGATAACAGTCAAACCATTCCAGAAAAGGTTTATTTACTCGACTGCCCGTCGAGCCACAAGCAATTCACTCTGAGCATGGAAATAGTCAGAATCGGACTGAGCAAGAGTCGCTTCCTCGTTTTTCAAAGTCTCGTAGATTTGAGTCTTTCAGACTCCAAGCGTCTCCTGAATGATTCATACTTTGTAACCCGCTTCGTTTAATCAGATACACTTCACTTTCTCTTCCGCGGCCATTACTATTCCTCTTCGTTTGGATGCCATGATCTACAGGACGTAAAAAAATTCGCAATTCTAGTAAAACTCACTGCAATAAAGAGTCACTTGCATGTCGCTGTTTTGGATAGAAAATAGTGGCGCGGACTTATTCGTTCGTATCAAGCGGGAGTTGCTTGAGTTGGCGCGACTGCGGGCTTCCGTATCGTCTCCCCCTCCCTCCCTGTGCTCTGCAACTTCAAGTAACTGCGCCAAAGTCCAAAGATGGGTCAATGACAAACTTCAGTTAGGCTTTTGAATGTTGGCTTGAGCAGAGTTGTTCATGAAGAATCTAGAAGTCTTGGGGAAATTAACCTGGACATTAAACTTGCCCTATTTCAGTCATGTTTTACCAATTTGGAAAAAATCTACACCTTCTCCAAACCTGTGCCGTTTTTACAAGTCCATGGAATTTGTGTCTCCAGCCATTTACCTGGAAGTCATGAGACCAATTTGTTCGAAGTGCGTGCTCTGCCCTTGAGCTCAGTTTAAAACCATTGTGACACAGGTGTAGTTATTTAACAGCTGCCTGTCACATGAGATAACCCTCACCCCCTGTCACTTTCAGCCAGCAACCACTTCAGCCAATCAGGTAGGGCTGGCAACTCTTTTTTTTTTTTTTTTTTTTTTTTTAGGGAATTTCAGGTTTTGGCTGAGCAGGCCACAACTCCCAACCAAGCAACATAACCATTAAGCACTGCCTGTCACCCATCCCTCAATTTGAAATGTTCAGCTCATTCCTGTTGTTTGTTTATTTAGTTTATTTAGTCCGTACTTCTTCTCATTTTCATATCTCTTGACCCATTCTAACTTTAAGCCGTTCAGTTCATTCATATCATGAATTTTTTATTTACAAAATTTCAAAATAAAAGCCTGGGGCCCTTTACCGCTAATTTCCATATGTTTTGACTGAATCTATTTCAAATTTAAACTGTTCCGCTCATTCCTCCATCCATCCATCCATCCATTTTCTAACACTTATCTGGGGTCAGGTTGCGGGTGGCAGCAGCTTCAGCAAGGTAGCCCAGACTTAGCCCTCCCCAGCCACTTCTTGCAATTCTTCCAGAGCGATCCCAAGGCATTCCCAGGCCAGCCGGGAGACATTCTCATTTTGTCCTTGGTCGTCCCCGGAGCCTCTTGCTGGTGGAGCATACCCAGAACAACTCACCAGGGAGACATCCAGAAGGCATTCTAATCAGATGCCCAAGCCACTTCATTTAGTCTCACTGACTCTGAGTCTTTCCTGGATGACAGAGCTTCTCACCCTATCTCTAAGGAGAGCCTGGACAGCCTGTTTTCATGTATCATATTATATTTGTACAGTATAAATGACAGATGTATTCAACGTTGGTCCAAAGACACTAGCCATAAAGTTTTTTGTTTTTAATGTTGTTTTGCGCAAGTTTGGCTTCAAATAATCAAGCCATTGTCCTGCTTGTTATTGTGGCAAAAGCAGGAAGTTAAGGAGCTCGTATTCCAGGTTTGGTCACGTGATGTTCCACAAAAAGCGGATTTGTTGTTTCAAATAGATTGTGATAAAGGGGAGGTGGGGTGGGGAACCTGCTGTCCAATTTACCCAGTTCTGACGTGAGTTTCTGACGAAACATAAAATACAAAATTAATACAACAGCTTAATTTTTTTCTTTGTTATTGTGTGAGAACCTTGTCAGTGTGACATCACATATTTTATATTTTTCAGCAGAAATAACATTTATCCAGGATGTGGGGCACTTGCCACTGAAGAGGTTCTCTCTGAGGTACAGTTCGTATTCTATACCATTCATAGCCTGTTTGAGGTGTACCCGTTGAATCACCATGATGTATTCATTTAGCCTTTGCAAAGTTTTTTCAACATACAAAGAAACAATTTTCACATTTATTACTTTGGGCAAGTAGTTTTCATTTCAGTGAATTTCTTTATGTCCAACATTATTTTTAAATTACCAAACTAGATTTTTTAAAATCATGTTTAAATCTTAATCATGAAATATATATACAGTCGTACCTCTACTTACGAATGTCTCTTCATACGAAATTTTCAAGTTATGAAACGTCTCAACAAGGAAATATTGCCTCTTGTTACGAAATAAATTTCAAGATACGAAAGGTAAAAATACAGTATGGCCTGCTACTCGGAGCTCCGAGTTTCATAAACGCAACATACTTGCCATTGGCTATTACCGAGCATTATCCTGGCATCCCATTGGCTAAGAGGGACTTCTACCGTATGTGTCTCTGCGTTTAGATAGAGAGATATGTGTCTATGGAGCGTCCTCGTCATTCGCCCCTCGGGTCATGAGGTGTTCCGATAGTTTTACGTAAATGTGAATCAACCAGAAAAAGTGTTCACCAGTCGGGCGATCGCTCACAATACTGATGTTTGCCTTGGACATTTTTGAAAGATTGTTAAAAGCCGACAAAAGCAAACGTCCTTGGATCAGTTCTTTTCAAAACTCCAGGCAAAAACCACTTCTGAGAGAGAACATGAACTAAAGGGCAAAAAAACGATGAGGACGCAGTTCAAAGTTAAATCACCATCATTTTTATTCTTGACTCTCTTCTTTGTTTTTTACATTATGCACAACTCTCATTTATTGTGCAATAATCTCATTGTAACATGTATTTGTTACATATTTTGATGCATTTTTATGCTTTAGGAAACATTTATGTCTGAATTTTGGGTGGGCTTGGAATGAATTAGGGCATTTACATGAAAAACGCGTCTCTACTTACAAACTTTTCTAGTTAAGAAATTTCTTCCACAACTAATTCGTTTCATAAGTAGAGGTACCACTGTGTGTGTGTGTGTGTGTGTGTGTGTGTGTGTGTGTGTGTGTGTGTGTGTGTGTGTGTGTGTGTGTGTGTATATGAATATATGTATGTATGTGTGTACTCCAATG